TTTTGTGTGGCTAAAAAACCGACAGTTGTTAGACCAGTTTGAATGTAATGATGTTTACAGAATTTTTGTGTGGCTAAAAAACCGACAAATTGGTAGACCAGTTTGAATGTAATGATGTTTGTAGAGTTTTTGTGTGGTTAAATAACCGACAGTTGTTAGACCAGTTTTTATGTAATGATGTTTACAGAGTTTTTGTGTGGTTAAATAACCGACAGTTGTTAGACCAGTTTGAATGTAATGATGTTTACAGAGTTTTTGTGTGGCTAAAACGGGAATGGTGTTTAGGGTGTGTTCAACGGTTCCAACTACACAGAATATTTCCTTATTGACCTTGTCCTACATAGAGCCAAATCGTATTCAAGACTTCAGTTTCTCTACCCATGATAGTATGAATTAATTTCTTCAATCTTATTAGGTCGCAATGAAGCCTTTTACCTGAAACTGATTACTTTTTATGATTCATTTCCGTCCTCCTTTTGCTAGTATCTAGTCCTGTAAATCATTAGCCAATAATTAAAATGTCCGTTCTCACAGATGGTATCTAACACTTTAGTATTCTGTGTTTTCTTAACTTTATCCGGCTTTTTTTTTCTGAACGTTATTAAACGAGACGAAAGAGGTTGGACTGCCTAGCCAGCAGATGAAAAAGACACTTGTACCTTATGATGACGGAATGACAGTGACATTCTAAAAAGAGATGGTAACATGTTCCTTGTATAAAACCTTGTAATATTGGACTCGAACATATTTTTGTATGAAACAATAGCTCGTGCCGCAATAAAAAACACTACCTACTCTACTCACAATCTAGATTTGATTTTATCTTTCACAGAAAATGATCGTGACTTGGCTATTCCCTTTTTTGTACGTCATCTTTCTGATAAGTACAGATGGCGCTCCAGTAGAAAAAACTACGACGACATTAAATATGGAAGATTTGACAACAATAGCTTCCGCAACGTTGGAAGGTGGAATTCGTTCCACGAACGAATCAGCAGGGGATAACCCCAATGTACATGAACCGATCCTAGATGTCAAATCGCTGGATGATGATTCGACCACACCTAATATTGACCAACTAGAGAAAACGGGCTCAGAACGATCGGAAGATGCCCTTATTGGCAGCATGGCTACAAACAATGGTTCAGAAGATAAAATAACTAGAAAGACTGAAACTATTGTTGAACCTCGAAAAAAATCGGACCCTGTGAAAGAATCTGATGAAAATGTTACTGTTACCGAAAGTAAGGAAGATGCTCACGCTGAAGACCAAAAATTGATTTTGGAAGATGCTGAAGGAGACTTTCAATCGGCTTTGAATAAGAAATCCAACTTTACATCACCTCCAATTCAAGATTCAGACAATTCAACAAGTCCAGTTCGGGATTTAGTGGCTACAAAGATCCCAGACCAGCCCCTAAAATATGGCACGACGAAATTACCAGATAATCGTCAATATGAAAAACATGATGAGTCAAATATGAAAAGCAAACCAAAAACAACGAGTATTCCTTCAATAGAAACCTTGGAAAATGTACCAAAGACCGAAAACGAAGATCTGTCCATGGTTGCTGACAATGGGATGGAAAATGAAAATGGAACAACTCAATCCAAGGATATTACCGCCAATATTTGGAAATTAGATGAACATTGGACTGAAAGTACACATGTTGCTGATGTATCAAATATGATGAAAGATGAAGCGAAAAAAAACAAAAAAACTGACAACTCAGCTACCGAAATGAATGTTCCGGGTTCGAAAGACGATCCTTCTGACGTAATTGGTGAAGAGGATAACACTCCTGAGAAGGCTAGTGACGAAGGCACTTCGTACCATGCAGATAGCTCATCTGCTAATGAAGAAGACACATTTGAGTCTAAAGCCACCTCATTTGAAATGACTCATAAGAAGAATAGCTCAGACCCTGAAGATGATTCATTTGACGAACCTAGTAAGCATAACTGGTCTGAGCCTGAAGATAATTCATCTGATGTGACTTCTCAGGAGGAGAACTCGGAGCTTGAGGGCAATCCACACGATTTGATGAGAGAAAAAGATTCAGACATAACTAACACAGAATCGCAGAAAGTCGAAGCCAATGAAGAAGAACAAAACACTACATCGGCTTGAATAACGAAGTTTCCATAGCAACAAACACGTCAACTGAACATTATTATATGATATTTGATAGATTATACACAGAGGTGTGTCTTAGCACGAACGTTGACTACCTGTATAGCGATTAACGTATATATTTTTAGTTCTATCACATCTAATCTTCTATTGTGAGAAACAAAAGGTTATATATCAACTTTTGTTTATAATTATATTTTCACAGAGAAAAACAAAGGTTATGTAAGCTTAACCATTTTAATGAAACGTAATCCGTCCTCTTCATTGTATATAAACAGTAGCAAAGTTTTGCACCTATTTCGTGACGGAGAAAACGTTTATTAAATATTTATGGTTTTAAATTTACAAGTAATAATATTCGTTAACATCTCCGTCCTGTTTTCCACATTCTCCCGTCCTGTTCTACTACAGAGCTTGTTTGTAAATCTATATACTTATTGTATTTTGTTTAATGGTGACGGTATTGTAAACATTTACTGTGCGAAGTGTCAAAATTTCAGAGTTTCTGGTAATAAGTTATATTTTAAAACCTCCCCTTGAATATTCTATTAAAACTCTTAAAGAAACCATTATTTTCTATTGTGAATATTTTTTTTTTCGTTAATGGAAAACATTTCGTCTGCATAAATATTCGAACGTTTTAGTAAAATCTTGTTCCGATAGAGGGCGCTAATCGTATTATACAAAAGTTTCGTGTTCATAACTGTAAAGTGTTTAATCGAAATTATAAATAAATAAATATATATATATATCCAGAATATGCATGAATATATATATATATAATTTCCGAAAAAAAACAACATTATCATATGTTTTAGAAAGTAACTTGTGTTTGAAGTCATTTATTATAAAATAATTATCATTGTCTATTTTGGACAGAAATATTTCTATTCGGATTATATCTATGACACCAGGTGAAGATTGTAACACTTATGAACGAGAACTGTTGTTAGGCTTAAATAAATCAGTGGAAAACCTATTCACAATAATTCATTTAACTTTTCTGAAATTTTACAATAACTACAACAATAAATATTTAAAACAATTTTTTTCCACTAAAGCTTTGTACGAATTTTGTTACTGTAATACTTTTGTTTCAATGTTCGTATCTATGACGAAGGATCTTTGATGATATTCTGAAATCATCGTGTTACCAATAAAACTTCTCAAGTTATTTTATTAGGCACGTAATGAGAACTACATTTTGGTGCGGACTTTATTAACTATTCAGTGTAGCACATGTTAGTTTGTGAACTTCACAACTAGACAAGTAAACCCGATTTGTATATTCATCGTAGTTTAATAAAGTTACATTCCGAAATCTATTGTTTTGATTGCTTAAATGTGTCGATGAACACGCAACTTCGAATGTAAAAGCGTATGAATATTGCATTTGAACGTGACGGCTTACGCAAGCATAATTAAAACTGTAACATATTTTCTTCATTGTTTTATTTCATTATCTTAAATTTTGTGATAAAAATAATTAATCGTAATTATTATTACTTTTCAAACTTAGAAGTTTAAAGTTCATGATGTCACCTACACAAAAACTAGGGTATGGGATTCAGTTAGACTTAAAACAAAGGAAGGTTTACATTTTTTAAGTTATCAACTAATACTTTCATCAGACACTTACAGATATTTCAAACTCTGATTTAAGATAATATGCTAAATCAAGTTTCTATAAAACGTGCATGCAGTGAATTGTTCAGTAAAAAAACACAAGCCAAAGGTACATGTGAAAAACATTTGTTTCTAAACAAATTCTTTTATGAGTACATTACGATAATTATTTTTACCTAAATACCCATTTATTAGCGATTTATCTCTAAGACAATGTTAACGTATCGTTAGGTATCTGTTTGTTTGTTAATTTCCGGTGGAAATTCTTTCCGAGGAACTTCAGTGATACAAGTCCTTTATTGATTAAACCAGTTTATTCTTTCTCGATAC